CCCATCAGCTCTTTTGTTGGTGACAGTGCCTAGCATGTAGTAAGTGCCACATAAATGTTTATTATTATTATTATTTCTATTTTACAGATGTGAAAGCCAAAGTAGGGTAAAGTTGAGTGACTTGCATAGGGTCATACAGCTAGTAAGCATCTGGGGTTGGATTTGAACTCAGATCTTTTCTGATTTCAAGTCTAGCACTCTAGCCATTGTGCCACTTAGCTAACTAAACAAATACACAACTAAAATATGTTTTGATGTATCCCTAGTTTTATTTATTTATTCATTCATCCATCCATCTATCTATCTATTTATTTTAGACAATTGGGGTTAAGTGACTTGCCCAGGGTCACACAGCTAGAGTAAGTGTCAAGTGTTTGGTCCCAGGCCAGATTTGAACTCAGGGTCCTCCTGACTCCAGGGCCGGTGCTCTATTCACTTTGCCACCTAGCCGCCCCATGTATCCTTACTTTTAAAAGCACATCAGAGAGCCAGCATGTTCTAGCCTGGATAAAAGCCTGGATATCTGGAACTCTGGGGGAACTGGCAACTTTACCAGTGACCTGCAAGGTGGCTCTCCATAAGGCATCTAATGACTTGTTACTTAGTTTCTTCATTTGTAATATGCAGATAACGCTTATCTCCTACTAGGGAATGTTGTTTGGATTATCTAAGTTACAAAGTGTTTGGTTACAAAGTTGTTGCTAAAATTACTTCTTTCACGTAAGTCTTTTAAAAACAGAAAGAACTTGGGGGGGGGGAGAGAATTTGTGGCCTCAGTTTGGTGGTTTCTATTTGGAGTTAAGGGTGGGAGTAACACGTAAAATAAGAGACATGGCCTTCTTTCAGAATATTGCAAGCCTGGGTTCATTTGCCCTTGTTTTCTTCAAGCTCATTTCCAAGCCATCTGTGACTTAGCCACACTGTATATTTAGACAAAGTGCAGAGCGGAAATATTGATGTGCTCAGCAAGGAAGGGCATAAGAAGGCAGCACAGAAGATCTGATGCAGAAAAATCAAGAACTCATGTATCTACAGAGCTTTAAGGTTTGGGAGGCATCCTTCTCACAATAATACAATCAGTTAATAATAATAATAATCCACATTTCTAGAGGTCTTTAAGTGTGTGAAAGCACTTGACGTCTGTCCATTATTATCATCATTATTATTGATCCTCACAACAACTTTCAGGGGTAGCTGCTAATATTCCCATTTTACAGATGAGGAAACTGAGGCTGAGAGAGGTTAAGTGACTTGCCCAGATTTACACAGGTAATATGTGTTGGAGGCAGGATTTGAATTTAGGTCACCACCACCACTACTACTACCACTACCACCACCACTACAACTACTACTACTGGTGGGGTGGCTGTGCTTGGGGCCCCAGCTCTAAGATCATGTCTCTGGAGATCTCACAATCTCTCAGTAGGCCTCCGTTTTGTGAGAAAATTTTCCCTTGTTGCAGAACTCGTGTCTTTATCAGAACAGACACAAGGATACTGGTCTATTGATTTTTGTCCCTGGCTGGCCCAAGGACTCTCCCTTGTGCCGGATCCCCAAAGTTCATGCCCCTGGCAACCTAACAGACAAACAAAACAAAACAAACCTGTATTTTCTCCCTCATCGTCTGATATCAACAAAGTTGTCTCTGCTGACTCGCTGAATTCTCCCATCCATAGATCACTGATGCCTGCTCCCAAAGACACCTGGACCCCATGCATTACTTAATTAACTCCTTAACATTCCTTTCCATGCTTCTTTTCTATATAAACTTGAGATTCACCCCCACTGTTGCAGTTCCCCAAAGGAATTTTGCCTGCTACTATTGGCATTACAATAAACTTTTTGCCACATGATTGAAAGAAGGTTTGAGTGTGTGAATTCATTCTAGACAACTCTACCTTGGCATTCTCAGGGTCCTAGCACCCCAAATCTCTTCACTACTACTACTACTACTACTACTACTACTACTACTCCTCTACTACTACTACTACCACTATCACCACCACTACTGCTGTTGCTACTATTACTTACTGCTACTTCTACTACTACTTCTACTACTGCTTCTATTGCTGCTCCCTTCACTCCTTCAACTTCCTTTTATTTTTTGTCATCTCTCATTAGAATGTAAGTTCCTTGAGGGCAGGGACTATCTTTCTGCTTATATTTGTATTCCTAGTCTGCTTATGTTTGTATTCCTAGCACTTAGCACAATGAATGGCATATACTAGGCACTTAATAAATGCTTGATGATTTGATACTAGCTTTTGAGGTAAGAACTCAACATTTGACAAAAATTGCTAGGGAAACTGGAAAGCAGTTCAGAAGAAACTAGGCATAGACCAACATCTCACACTGTATAGCATGATAATGTTAAAATGGATAAATGATTTAGACATAAATGGTGATATAAGTAAATTAGGGGAGCATGGAAAGACGTACCTGTCAGATATACGAATAAGGGAAAAGTTTTTGATCAAACAAGAAACAGAGAGGATTACTGGAAGCAAAATAAATGATTTTTATGATGTCAAATGAAAAAAGGTTTTGCACAAACAAAACTAATGTAGACAAAATTAGAAAGAAAAAAGGAAATTGGGAAAAAAGTTTTATAGTGAGTTTGTCTCATGAAAGCTTCATTTCTGAAATATATAGGGAACTGAGCAAAATTTATAAAAATAAGAGCCATTCCCCAGCTGATAAGTGGTCAAAAGATATGAACAGGTAGTTTTCAGAAGAAATCATAGCTATTTATAGTCACATGAAAAAATGTTCTAAAAAACTACTGATTAAAGAAACAAAAATTTAAATAACTCTGAGATACCACCTCATATCTCTCAGATTGGCTAACATGACAGAAAAGGAAAGAGATGAATGCTAGATGGGTGTGGAAAAGTAGGGATTCGAAAGCACTATTTGTGGAGTTGAGAATTGATCCAACCATTATGGAGAACAATTTGGAACTATACCTAAAGGGCTATAAAATTACATATACCCTTTGACTCAGCAATACTAGGTCTGTTTGCCAAATAGATCAAAGAAAGTGGAAAAGGATGTATTTGTACAAAAAAATTATTAGCAACTCTTTTCGTGTTGACAAAGAATTGGAAATAATGGGGATGCCCATCAATTGGGAAATGGCTCAACAAGTTGTGGTATATGATTGTGATGTGATACTATTGTATTATAAGAAATAATGAGCAGGATGCTTTCAGAAAAATCTTGGAAAGACTTACATGAACTGATGCTGAGTGAAGTGAGTAGAACCTGGAGAACATTGTGCATAGTAACAACAATATTGTAATGATGATCAACTGTGAAAGATTTAAGTACTCTGATCAATACAATAATCTACGACAATTTCAAAGGACTCATGATGAAAAATGTTATGGAGAGAGAGAGAGAGAGAGAGAGAGAGAGAGAGAGAGAGAGAGA